CAACAAAATGAGATAGTAAAGTCAAACTTCCTGGACAATCTCTATCACAACTACTTGATTGGGCAGATTAATATCTACAAGATCAAAACAAGAGTCTGAGGATGATTATGAAGAATCAAAAACATGAATTATGAGTGTCAACTATGGACGAAAGAGATGGTGATGATTCTCAATTCTGCCGAGGGACCTATCCAATATTCACTTTGATAAATAATGCCACTGAGATGCTTTGTCTGAAACTGAAACAGACCTCTTGTAGTAATAAGTTGTTCGGTGAGAGGCAAAATCCTCAAGCTTAACGTCACAGAAAAGCGCCCTACTGTTCTCACTATGAAACGTGCTATAACTCTGTATAACTCTGTCAGTTAATTTTAATTTTAATTAACTGACAGAGTTAAAAGTGCAAATAGAAGGGTCACGAAGCTGTTCAAAAAGGTAACCCTTACCAACACGGAGTCCAGGAATACACAAATACTTCGGTTTATCCCGTCGATATAAGACCACTACACACACTGAAAAAATGCTCCAATGGAATATTACACCGTGATGACCGCAATCTAGCTCACACTGTAATAAACATCCATGCCACATTGCTTCCTAGCATCCACATTGCATCCACATTGTTCCCGCTCACAGGTTTACAGTGCAGTATTCATCCCCGCTCTCGCAAAATGTTCAGAATTTAGATGTAGGGCAACTGGAACTTTCCTTTAGATTTTTGAACGCGAAGCAAGCAAAACGTTTACAAAACTTTACAGACGCTTTCCGCCTACGGAAGTCCGCCATGTTTCTTTCCCAAGAACTTAGTCTCGCTCGGCCAAATTTCTTACCCGGGGCTCGTCCTCAGGGTCTTCTCCTCGACGAGTTTCAAAATGGCGGCTTGTCGGGAGAAGACCCTTGGCAGCTCTGAACTAACACCCTTGCTGATTGGCCCATTCACACGAACAGGCTGATTGGTTTAAATACATCCTAAAGAAATATGGCGGACGTGGCGAGTGTTTATATGAATGAGAAAGAGCTTAGAGAGCTTATAGGAGGTTGTATTGCAGTTCATTTCAGGTGATGTTGAATCGGACTGCTGTTAACGATTCGGAAGGTGAATCTTTTGCGTTAGATTTTAATTTAAAAGATGTAACCTATACCATCAAATGGAAATAAGCTCGGGAAAATACGGTACATAACGAGCATTATGAAGTATAATACAGTTATTCCGACAGCTAGCGAGCTGCGGCTCGCCACAAGCGGCCTTATATGCTGTTTTTGCTGTCCAATATTCATGCACAATTGGATTTTCTGCGTACGGAAACAAAGTAGAGCTAAGGGCCGGGATGAGAGAGTTTGACGCGTTTGTTTATGTTTATATTATTAGAACTGAAAAGAGTGTATTTGAAATAAAAAATTTGAAATAAGCCTAAACCTAAAACAGACGGAAAGTCTATTTTTAAGGAATACGTTTCCAGACACAAGAAAATAGAAACGATTTTCCGTAGCAAAAAAACAAGGGTCAGTAAAGTTTTAGATTTAAAATTCGATAAAAATAATACATATTGATTTTTTCTGCTGAGGCTGAATAATTTTATTCTGCCGATTTTAGGTTAAAAATATTCTTGTGAATATTCTTTAGTGTGGTTATTGATTAACACATCATGTGTTAAGGGATAATATTTACCATAAATAGATACGCACGTGTTTTCTACAATCACTTAGAGTCTGGATCAGTCAATGAACAGAATAAAAACCTTACAGGTTATGACATTTCTGTTGTCAAATGTTTTTGGTGTCTGGATGGTGTTATTAAAGCAATTTTTGAGCCAGCCAGCAGACATTAAAGACTTCTCAAAACAATGCACAGTAACTTCTTGCAGAAATGTTATTAGCATTGCACATTTGGCTAGTGCTGTTTTCATTGCTTTTTGGCTAGTTTTGCTGTTTAGAGAAATGAAGAATTTAATACGGTTTAGGTTAGGGTTAGAAACATAACTGTATTGTAATTACGAATTTTCAACGCACAAAATTATGTTCTTTTCAGCCTAAGCCTTAGGTTTATTCTTTGCAGTATTCTTAAAATTTTGCAAATTTCAACCTCATTGTTCTTATAGGTGAAGGAGATGATTTATATCTATTATGTGTTCAGTAAGAACTAATTTACAAATAAATGCATAGGAAGGAATTTGAATTTATTGCATTTTTCCTGTCTGGCCTCCTCCACGGCCTCCTCCAGGGTCTCCTCCCCATTGGAGAAGTGAGATCTGAGGATATGAGTACCTCTGGATGGCTAAACTGCCTTTGATTACCATCTTGGCACTGTAAAGGGCCAATAAAAACTGTTATGAAAAAGGTTTATGGGTGATAACAAATTTACAAGAGAATCTTACTTACCACAAATAGACAATAGAAATAGCTGATCTACAAGATATGCACTGCTTGTGCTACTCTACAATAATCCGTCTCCTTTCTTTAATACATATACTATTTGTTTTTACAAAATTCATTGTGTATTTAATTACAGCCGGGTGGTGAGTTTTCTTTGCAATTCTTGAGTTTGTTACCTTTTTTATTTTTCTACCAGTCAGGCAAGCAGTGGATCTTACAGTAAATAAAAGGAATAACTTTGAGAAAAAAGTTGTGAAACCTGTATTACCTGATGTTGTTTCTCTTTAAATTCTATCTCATGATCATAACAAACATGACAACAATTCAACACATTTTCAAACACCGAGAAGACAGTCCAAATCATAGCACAGCATAGCCTGTATTTTTGATGCAATTTTAGGTGTTTGGTATGTGGTGAAACACTTTCCCAAGTGTTTGATATATATTGGCTGTTTTTATACCAGAGGATGCATTATCCATCCCGACAGCTAATGCATAACGACAAACCACAGCGTGCCAGCAAAGATGATACCGTTTGTAGTGACAGAAGCATCTTGCTAAGTAAGTGTGGCAGACATCCAAACAATTGCAATTTACAGGATTTATTTGACTGTCTACCTTCACCAACGTGGACTTCGCTCACCAGCTGCTCACTCATGTGGCAATAGAAATCGAGCCTATAAACCATGATGAACATATTTGTGCTATTAATTTTTCATCCCCGGCTTGGTAAGCTAAATGCAAACAAACACTAATTGGACATTATGATGAGAATTATGGAACCGTCTAAAAAAAAAGTAAATATATTATCCCTCAACCCTCTTCCCCACCCCTCCCCCCCCCACCTCTCTCTCTCTGTAATTTCCTGGGCATGTGAGCCCCCCACCCCTCTGGAATTTCCAACTCCTTCAGTGGGGGAGGGGGGATGGATATTTCCTGGAACCACACATTGTAAAAATCTGTGCTATATATTTGACATTCCACATCTAGACAACTGTCATAGCTATGATTTTCTCTGTTTTTAAACAAATTTATGAATTACTGGGTTTAGAAAGGGATCATAGATATTCCAAGGTTGCCAACATTCAGGACTGAATTTGTGAGAACCTCAGAGGCAAGGATCCTTTTGTATCATAAGGCAATCATTGATTGCCACACAAAAAGCAATTGTAAGAGAATAATCAGCAAAGGATAATTGGTAGGATATTTTCTCAACATAACCAGAACCATAGCTTGGGTGCCGACTTAGCTAAGTGACATAGCTCCCGACGAGCCACCATTTTGAAAATCGTCAAGGAGAAGGCCCTGGGACAAGGTTTTGTACCGTTGCAGTTATGTCCTATGTGGCACCATTCTCGTCCCCATAGCCCTTTTCGCTCCTCTTAGCCGGCGGGGCCTTGGCACGAGAATCGAAGGGCCC